ATTAATCACGTGGGAATTACATTGCAAAAGTTGTTATTCTTTGTTTAATCAAATTCATGAAAAGAACAAGAATAATTATTCAAATTCTAGTCTTGATTAACACAAGAATACTATGTGAATTAAATTAACCAAAAGTTTGTTAAAAGTGATCAAACAACACTATTTATTCAATTAAATTTATTTAAACAATAAAATAAAAGTTATTTATCTAAGTGCTCAGGAAACTAATCGTTCTTCTTATATGTTAAATCTCTGTTTAATGCGTTTATGGACTTTCTTTCTTCTTCGTACCTCAAAGGACTTCAATGGATTTAATTAGGGTCGGAAAGTATTTAGGAAGAGAGAAGAAAAGTAATATGATAGTAAGAAAACTTGGGAGATTAGGGTTTTGAGGATGCTAAGGTTAGAATTCTGATTTATCGGTCCCTTTCGAGTTGAACAAGACCCCAATTTATAGGCGTAGGAATCTAGGTTTAGGGTTTTAGAGCCGCACCTTCAGGTGGCGCGTGCAACTCTCTGAGTCGCTATGGGCTCCTCGCGCATCTCAAAGACTTGCGCGCCCCAAGCTCGCGCAACTCACTGAGTTGCGCTGGATGTGGTTTGCCTTAAACGAAAATGCGTTTTTAAATTTTCCATAACTTTTGATTGCAAAGTCAAATTAAGACGTGTGAGATATAATTGGAAATATCTGAATATCTACTTTCTAATGCCGTTATAATTAGGTTAAAATATTTTATGGATCAAATGATATGGCTGTTGGAGTGAAAGGGTGTCGATTTTAGGGCCCGATTTAGTGTTTTGAGCATAACTTTTTCATTTTAGCTCGGAATTGGGCTTATAATATACCGTTGGAAAGTTCTTTGAAAGGGATATCTATCTTATAAGCCATGAACGAAAATATGATGGTTGGTTTATCTGTTTGAATCGGTTTTCAACAATGTAAGATCCATTGGATCGAATCAATTCATTTGCCACATTTAGGTCCATTATTAATCAAATTTAAACATGTATGAGCATGCTTTAGGCCTAATTAATAATCAGACAAGGCTTCAAGATAGCTTGGTCTCAAATATGAGTTTTGCTAACTTACTTCATAATGCATTTCGTAGTCTATAACACTTCCACTTTGATCTAGCATGAAGAACGGGTTTTTTGAATCATCATCGCACTTCCTTTCATGAAAAAAGGCCAAAAGTAGGTGTCTACACTTGATTCCCTTCATTGTAGGGCTGCTTGCAGCAAAGCCGCCTGATATGACGGCCACAAAACAAAGAATCAGTGCTATTTCCATCATCTTCTTTGTCATTGTTCTTTTTCTTCTCGGATTTGTTGTCTGTTCGAGTGTACATGAATTTTGACTTCAAGACGTATGAATTCAACATGCCCTTTTCATCCATATTATCCAGCAATTTTTTCAAGTTAATAGATTCATTTGTGTTATGTCCCACGTCCTTGTGGTAATGACAGTACTTGTTTTTGTTGTGCTATTGAGCCGAGCCTTCAGCGGTTGGGGCTTCTCGAACTCAAATTTATCTTTGATTTCCATTAGGATTGAGTAACAATGCTTGTTGAACTCATACTGAGGCTCGTACGTCTTGGCCTTTTTGACTTCGTCTGCTGGCTGTCGGCCACCCAAACTTCCTTTCGTTTAATGTTTCCTTCTATTTTTTCTTCCTGACCGAGTCTTGCTGAGAAGGTTACTTCTTCTCAGCTCCCTTGGCTGGTTGTTCAGCTTTAGTTAGGGAGCAAAAATTTGATGCTTCAATGTAGGCGTCGACCTCTCGCAGCACGCCTGCGTACGTTCGAACCTTTTTCTTGACCAGATCAAACTTGAAACCATTGTGCCTTAATCCCAAGAGAAATTCCGAATAGGCCACTTCGTCCGGCATATTATGAATTTTGGGCTTTCTCTTGATTGAACCTCTAGACGTATGAACGTAACCCCTCAGTATTTCCTTGGATGATCGTTGCCAAGTTCAGGCTGGTCTTCCTTGGGGGAATATTGTGCGAGAATTTACCAACAAACAATAGACTAAGAATGGTAAAGCAGTTGATGCACGCGGCCGACAGGCTATTAAACAAGTCCTGCACCACGCCCTTAAGGGTGGCCGGGAAGTACCTGCACCATGTGGCATCATCCACACTTTGCAAATACATCAAATTTTTGTACAAAGTAACGTGCTCTTCTGGGTTTCCCGTACCTTCGTAGGCACCCAAAAGTACACTTTTAACCTTTGCTGGTTGGGGGAGTTAAGGATTTCCTGAGAAAACGGAGGTGGCTTGTCACCGAGATTTAACAAGCACATTTTCCAATCAATGGGTTGAGGTTGAGCGGCCGGTCCGGCCAGGTAGGCTGTCTGGTCGAACGGCTGGCCATATTTCCCAACTGTCCAAAACAGGGGGGTTAGGCGGCAAAAATGCATTGAAATTCTAGGGCGTTTGATATTGAAACGATTGAATTGGAATAGGAGTTTGAGTAGAATGAGCTTGACTCCTACTGATCCTGGTCGAGATGGTATTCTTTGAGGGGGTATGGTTTGAGAAATCAACCGGCATAGTTGGCGTAGAGGCGGTGTCCGAATAGGTTATTCGCTCACGCTACTATGTCCTATGTACTCCCTTGCATCCTTCCAACGCCGAGACGGCTCATTTATCTTCTTCAGAGGTTGTCTGGTCTGCCCCCCAGCCAACTGTATTTTCTCGAGGAGCCTAGACATATCCGTCTGCAGCACCCTCGGTGAACGTTCATGTCGGCGGAATGGGTATTCCCAGCGTCTCCAGCACTGACCACCTTGCTCTAGGTCTTCTTTTGAATGTCATCTCCTCTTCTTCTGGGCAGTATCCTAGAAGAAGAAGGCATCTTACCCTCAAGCTCCCTTCGGAGCTTGCTCAAGGCGAGCTTAAGTGAACCAGCAGTTACTGGAGGATCCTTGGCCACATGAAATGAAGCTATCAGAGGATCACTAGAATTGATTGTTGCAACTATATCCTTTACATGTCCGTCCTCACCAGGACCAGGACCTGCATTAGGTTTCTGACCATCTGTTGCCATAACGGACGAATATCCCCACATATGGCGCCAAATGTTTCAGGGTTTTTTGGAATCCCTTGGGATACCGTTCGCACTCCACGGACAGGATGTCTAGGACACCTACAAAACACAAATATTCCATTGTTGGAATATTCGGCTATGAAGGTTAAGTTAGTAACCGGAATTCGGAAAGCTAGAGAGAGAAAGTAGAGAGAAGTTAGATTTGTTTTTATGCTCTATTAAATGTTATGTCTTAAATCCACCCCTCCCATAATAAATGATTGGGGTATTTATAGGGGTGGGGAATGATGCCCCTTTTAGGGTTAGTTACCTAGGGTGGCGTGCTTTGATTAGCGGCGCAATCAGGAGAGGGCACATGTCCCCTAGGGGCGCCGTTTTGCGGCAATATAGGAACTTGAGCCTCCTGATGTAAGGAGACCTTCATTCCTCATTTTCTTTTGTCAGGTGCTCTCATTTTTAACACGTGTCATTATCCTATAGGGACATGTGTTGCCTCTTTTTTTAGGCTACGTGTCTCTATGAGACTGGACTACGTAATTGGGGTATGTTTTTACCTTAAACACGACCTTATATAATTCTTCAAATCTACATTACCCATTAGGTAGATTATCTATGACTAGTACAATATTAAAATTTCACTAATTATGTTGAGTTGGATTCCATTATCACTACTCTTTACACTAACATTTATATGTGACTGATCACATGGTATAGCCAACCACCATAAGGTTACTTAAAAGGTTTACTCTGTTAATATTATAGATGTTTGGGCAAAGTCCATTGTCCTAATCCCATTGTCCTAGAATTACCATGATCCAGCCCATCATTAGTCAAAGCAAAGTACGGATTTACCCCTAATCTGTCCAATTAAGTACAACTTCTGCCACATGAAAGTACATCTATAAATAGCTCTCCAATCATTAATGATGGTAACTTTTTCCTAATTCTCTAACCTTCTCTCTCTACTTTCTCTCTCTAAAGTACTCCTTCTCTCTCTACTTTCTATCTCTAGAAAGTACATTCGCTAACTTAAGCATCGGAGGGGCTTTCCCGGGTCACACCCCCGAGGTAGTTAACCTTCTTTCTCTTTTGCAGGCCTAGCTCTCGGACAGCAAGGCATAGCTGAGGGAAATTTAGACATACATTAGATATAGATCTAGGATATCTTGATTACCCTAACACCGAGGAGTATTCTGTTTCCGAAAAAAGGTGGTGTCGTCTGTGGGGATAACTAACAAGAAGTCATTGTGAACACTAGGCGTCCCCGCAGCACTCATCAAGATGCTACTAGGCAAGCTCCAATTCTCTCGGTTAGGCATGCTCACATAGTCTAGGAGATGATACCCCAAGCTTGTAGTGAACCCGAGAGAGAAGTGAATAGCCCCCAGGTAGTCACTCGCCGAGACTTGGACCAGTTGGCAGCCCAGATCAATAGAAACCTGGAGGAAAGCCTCAGGGCACTTGTCAACCAGGGGGTGGGTCAAGGCAGGCAGGGGAACGCTCCACAGCCTATCCCTCAGCCTCATGTGTCCCATCTCCATCAAGCCTCCTCTCGGCCTCAACATCAAGCATCCCGTCGCTCTCAGCCTAATCAGTCCCCTAACCCCCAGCGGGAGATAGGGCAGCACAGCCGACCAAGAGATGCTAGAGAGATAATCAATGACCGAAGGCTGAGGGATGGAACTCTAGATGCCCGGGAGATAATCAACTCTAGGAGGGAGAACTCCAAGGAAGATAATGAGCCCCCCCAGAGAGGTCGAACTATAGTTTACTCTCGGCATGGATCAACAAGGTACCGAGATAGCATGATCCACTCAGCTACCTCCAGACCAAGGGGGAGACCCACTCAGCCCGCTCGTTCAGCATGCAAAAGTCCCAATCGTCCTTCTCCCCGCAGGCCAGGAGACTCGGGATTGTCAAGGACATCACCCCCTTCATCCATGAGATAATGAATACCCCTATTCCTCCTAAGGTTAAAATCCCTACGTTAGACCCTTATGAGGGAAAGACAGACCCAACAGACCATCTGAACGCTTACAAAGCACAGATGGGAGTTCAAATCGGGTGTGAAGCCTCATGGTGTAGGTTCTTCCCTACCACTCTCAAAGGCATAGCTCAGACATGGTTCAACAACCTTACCCCAGGGAGCATAAGAACGTTTGACATGCTAGCTACTCAATTAAAAAAGCACTTCATCGGTGAGAGTAGGCAAACAAAGATCAACGTTCATCTAATGACGGTGAAGCAAGGGGAATGAAAGTCTTAAGGAATACATCAAGAGGTTCAACACCGAGTCTCAGCGCATCCCCGACCTCCAAGACAATGTTGCTTTTACAGCCCTTCTCTTCGGGCTCAAGTCTAATAAGATGAAGTTTGAACTTGTCCATGACAAGGTGAGTACCTTCTCTGAATCCATGGAAAGAGCTGAAAGGATCATTGAATCTAGTGAGGTGTGCAAGGCACCCGTGGCAAACAACAAGGGGAAGAGGAAGCAAGAAGATAATTATCATGAGAACAGGAATAGAAGGTCGAGGAGGGCTGAGAGTGATGATGAAGGATTGAAGTACAATGTTGATAGGTATGAGATTTATTTTGACATAAGGCACAAGGCTATTCTTCTTAAGCCTAACCCCATGAACACGCCAATTGAGCAGAGGAACAGGAAGCTTTGGTGTGAATACCATAAAGAGTGCGGTCACACCACCCGGAACTGCAAAGACCTTAAGAGAGCCTTGATAAGCTAGATGAGGAAGGAAAGCTTAACAGATATCTCAAGTCCCCCCCCCCCCGAAGGATAAGCAAAGAAGCAAAGCTTCCAAGGAAGTGCAAGAAGCCCACAGCTCAGCTGACACTAATATGAGCATCAATGTCTTAGCCGGAGGATTTGCCTCCGGGGGGTTGTCTAAAAGGGCACGCAAGGGTCACTTGCGGTCGCTCGAAGAGCCCATCTATGATATCGGCACTCCCTCATCCACCCCAAAGGACCCCCTCATGGTATTTGGGGATGATAAAGGAAAAAAGATTCAAAGGCCTCATGATGACCCCCTGGTGATTCATATGAAGGTGGCCAATGCTAAGGTGAAGAAGATCTTGGTGGATAGCGGAAGTTCAGCGGACATTATCACATGGAAGTGCATTGAACAGATGCGTTTTGGCAAAGGAGACCTCACACCCCTAGAGAAACCCTTAGTTGGTTTTGGGGGAAACATGTGTATCCCTTAGGAACGATCAAGCTGCCTGTTCGTTTGGGGGAAAAGAAGAAGGGGAGGAGCTTAGTACACACGTTCTTAGTGGTGGATACCCCTCTTCCATACAACATGATTATTGGCCGACCCCTTCTTAACAGGGTCAAGGCCGCCATATCAACCTATCACTTGCTCCTTCAATTCGAGACCGATGATGGATCGGTGGGCAAGATATTTTGAGATCAGTTTGAAGAAAGAAAATGCTATGTAGATAGCTTGAATTCACCTGAGAGCTCCGTCAATCAAGAAGACAAGGGGGCCAAGAGGAAAGCGATGGATATTGATGAACCCCAGCTCCCGGTCATGAACATCTACATGGCCGAGAATCCTAAGAAATACGGTAGGCCTAGGCCTATTGAGGAGGATGAGAGCATACCCTTAGGTGATGACCCTGCTCGGACCGTGAGAGTAGGAAAGACCTTGGACCCTCAGCTCAAGGAAGAAATTATTCAAGTACTTAGAGAATTCAAAGACATCTTCGCTTTTATAGCAGATGAAATGTCGGGCATTGACCCCGAGGTGATGACCCATGAGCTAAACATCAAGGAGGGCTACAAGCCCGTCAAGCAGAAACTCCGACATGCTGGGCCGGAGAGAAACAAAGTTGCAGCCGCTGAGGTTAAGAAGCTTCTCGAATCAGGTTTTATTCGAAAATGTCAATATACCGAGTGGCTATCCAATGTTGTGCTTGTTAGAAAGCCAAATGGCTCTTGGCGTATGTGTGTGGACTTCACAAATTTGAACAAGGCATGCCCGAAAGATGATCATCCTTTGCCTAAGATTGATAGGTTGGTGGATTCGACTGCTGGTCACGCCCTCCTAAGCATCATGGATGCCAACGCGGGGCATCATCAGATACCCATGTCAGAAAAAGATCAAGCACACACGGCCTTCATCACCAGTCAGGGGGTGTATTTCTATAATGTGATGCCCTTCGGCCTGAAGAACGCCGAGGCTACCTACCAGCGCCTGATGAACAAAATATTTAAAGGGAAACTAGGCCGGAATGTTGAGGCCTATGTTGATGATATGATCGTGAAAAGCAAGGAAAGCCCAGACCACATAGCGGATCTAAGGGAAACATTCACCACCCTTAGAAAATATAAAATGAAGCTTAACCCCAGCAAATGTGTCTTCGGGGTGCAAGGTGGAAAGTGTCTGGGTTTCATAGTTGATCAACGGGGCATTGATGCCAACCCCAATAAAATTCAAGCTATTCTTGACATGGAATCCCCCGGAATGTGAAGGAAGTGCAATGCCTTACAGGCTGCCTAGCCGCATTGGGGAGGTTCCTATCCCGATCACCTGATAAGAGTTTGTCTTTCTTCAAGGCCCTTAAGAGGCCTAAGTTCCTGTGGGATGAAGAGGCTAAAAAATCTTTCCAGCAATTGAAGGAACAGATGATGAACACCCCGAAGCTTGTTAGCCCCCTCCCCGGGGAAACATTGTTTGTGTACTTGGCCATATCAGATTATGCCCTGAGTGTGGTTCTTGTTGCTGAAAGAGATGAAGGCCAAGTACCAGTCTATTTTGTCAGCCATTACCTAAGGGCGGCTGAAAACCCGATATACTCTCATAGAAAAAGTGGTGTACGCTTTAGTGATGGCAAGCATGAAGTTGAAGCCATACTTTCAAGCACATCCAATCAAGGTACTCACCAGCCAACCGATCAAGAAGGTGCTAGAGAGAAAAAATTATTCATCCCGAATGACTGATTGGTCGGATTAGTTGGCCGATTTCGGTATTGAATTTGAGCCCCGAAAGGCCATCAAGGCCCAAGCCTTGGCTGACTTCATAGCCGAGTGCGCTCATAGGCCTACACCGATGGACACCTCCGCCCCTTGGGCTCTTTATGTGGATGGGTCGTCGAGTAAAGCTGGAAGCGGGGCAGGGCTAGTTATCACCTCCCCGGTGGGAGAGAAGTTTGAATATGCAGTCAAGTTTTCTTTCCATGCATCAAATAATGAAGCTGAGTATGAGGCTCTTATCTTGGGGCTAAACTTGTGCCAATTCATGAAGATTAAATCAGTCCAAGTTTGCTCGGATTCACAACTCAATGTGGAGAAGATGACAAAAGAATTTGAAGTAAAGGAAGAAAACATGAAAGCCTATTTTGAAAAGGCTGAGAACTTGACAAGATCGTTTGACAACTTCGAGATCAAGCACATCCCTCGCTCAAGGAATCAGCAAGCCGATGCTCTAGCCCGCCTAGCTAGTTCAGCCGAGGGGATAGCCCCTCGAAACATCATGTGGGAGGTGTTAGAGAAACCAAGTACCCAAAGATCTGTTGTCATGGACATTGATAGAGGGGAAACTTGGATGGACCAAATCACTCAATTCTTAAAAGGGGAGCTGCCCGAGGACACCCCCGAATTCAAGATGATCAAGAAACAGAGTGAGTGGTTCTTACTTCATGATGGGATCCTCTACAAAAAATCTTTTACTATCCATTGCTGAAGTGCATAACCCCGGAGGAGGGGAACTATGTCCTTAGGGAAATTCATGAAGGAGCATGTGGCAGCCATCAGGGTGGAAGAACTATAGTTGGAACAGCGCTAAGGGTTGGATTCTATTGGCCCACCCTGAAGGATGATGTTGTCAAGATTGTCAAGAAGTGTGAAAAATGCCAAAGGTTTGCTGACATGCCCCATGTTCCGACCAACGCCCTCACAAGTATTCAGTCAGTCCTACCCTTTGATCGTCGGGGCATGGACATCCTAGGTCCATTCCCCGTGGCCTCTAGACAAAGGAAATTTCTTATAGTAGCGTGGATTATTTCACCAAGTGGATTGAAGCTGAGTCGGTGGCAACAATAATCGATAAGCAAGTCTAAAGGTTCATTTGGTGGAATATCATCACCCGCTTCAGGGTACCCCGCATTCTGATCTCAAACAATGGCCGACAATTCAATAGTGGGCCAACAAAGGAATATTGCAGTCGTTTTGGGATCAAGTCAAGGTTTTCAACTGTGTGTCGACCCCAAACAAATGGCCAAGAAGAAGCGGCAAACAAAACAATATTAAAAGGGCTGAAGACAATGCTGGAAGGCATGAAGGGGTCTTGGGTGGATGACTTGCCCGGGATCTTGTGGTCCATTCGTACCACAATCAAAGAGGCTACGGGGCAAACCCCTTTTGCCTTAGTGTATGGGAGTGATGTCGTACTCCCCGTGGAAGTTGGGATCCCATCCCCCAAAGTTACCTTCTATAACTCCAATCAAAATGATCAGCTGAAGCCCTTGGCCTTAGACTTACTCCCAGAGATAAGGGGAGACGCTTTGCTTCGCTCTATAGCATACAAGCAAAGGATAACTCATTATTTCAACAAAAGATTCAAGGCAAGGCCCCTGGCTAAAGCTGATTGGGTGCTTCGGATGTGTGAGGCCGCTTGCAAGCCCCCGACATTGGGTAAGCTAAGCCCCAATTGGGAAGGACCTTACAAGGTTAAGGAGGTGATCCGCCCGGGAACCTTTCGCTTGCAAACCCCTGATGGCAAGGACCTCCCCCAGCCATGGAATGCTGATAACCTCCGGAGGTTTTATGTTTAAGCATCCTCCTCACATTGATGCCCTAGGGCAATAAGAACCGATACTAGGAGATCAACTTCAATATAGCGCATCATTGTAATGACTGTTACATTTTTTAACATAATGAAAAACTTCCAGTTGGGATGTTTGCCCCATATATTTTGCATTTTTGTCGTTTGTCTTTTACTTAGTTTATTTTTTGAAACTTTTATATCGCTTATTAGCATAACCGAGTTCATTTAAATAGCACCACATGCCTGGCACAAGACATTTTGGTTCGCTAACACTTAAGTTTGCTCCAATGTTTGGGGCAAGATGCTAGCCTATACTCAAGCATCTGAGATAGAGTCCTGGCCGAAAGATCACTTATAACTTGGGGCTCGTTTAGTCCCTCATCTTACTTTAAAGATTCGGAAGGCCCGACTCTCATATGACTTATAACTTGGGGCTCATTTTAGCCCAGGATTGTTTACGTTATCCATAATGAGTTGGAATAACCCAGCTCTCATACAATTCTCAAACTTGGGGATCGCCTTTAGCCCCTAGCTTATTCACATTATCATTGCAAGTTTTATAACTAAGGGCTCGTTTAGCCCCCAGGTGATCATACAATTCTAATAAAAATAACATAAGGCTCGTTTTAGCCCTCATCACGCAACTATGCTAAGGCTGTTCATTAAGCACTAGGGGCCTCTTTTTGGCCCCTAGGGGTGAATTATCAAGTAGTAAAGCAAAAAAAAAGAAATAAAGCATCAAGCAAAGCAAAGTAAAAGCCGAATGTGCAAATATACAGGCCAAGTTAAAGATTCAAAGTTCCAACAAAAAATCATAAGTTTTTCATACATCCCAGAAAAGAAGTACATCCTAAGGAAAATCAATCAAATCTAGATCAAAATCCTGAAGAAGCTACTCCTCAATCTCGCCCTGCTCAGCTAGCAGCCTCCTGCACTCCTCCTCCTCGGCTGCGCGAACA